CCCTATTCTGAAATACCCTGAGAATCTAATCTCACGGGAAACAAGGCGCCCCTATTCTGAAATACCCTAAAAATCTAATCTCACGGGAAACAAGGCGCCCCTATTCTGAAATACCCTAAAAATCTAATCTCACGGGAAACAAGGCGCCCCTATTCTGAAAACGCTTAGAATCTAATCTCACGGGAAACAAGGCGCCCTGAAATTCTGAAATACTAATCTCACGGGAAACAAGGCGCCCCTCTCTGAAATACCCTAAGAATCTAATCTCACGGGAAACAAGGCGCCCCTATTCTGAAATACGCTGAGAATCTAATCTCACGGGAAACAAGGCGCCCCTATTCTGAAATACCCTAAAAATCTAATCTCACGGGAAACAAGGCGCCCCTATTCTGAAATACCCTAAAAATCTAATCTCACGGGAAACAAGGCGCCCCTATTCTGAAATACCCTAAAAATCTAATCTCACGGGAAACAAGGCGCCCCTATTCTGAAATACCCTAAAAATCTAATCTCACGGGAAACAAGGCGCCCCTATTCTGAAATACCCTGAAATCTAATCTCACGGGAAACAAGGCGCCCCTATTCTGAAATACCCTAAAAATCTAATCTCACGGGAAACAAGGCGCCCCTATTCTGAAATACCCTAAAAATCTAGGCGCCCCTATTCTGAAATACCCTAAAAATCTCACGGGAAACAAGGCGCCCCTATTCTGAAATACCCTGAGAATCTAATCTCACGGGAAACAAGGCGCCCCTATTCTGAAATACCCTGAAAATCTAATCTCACGGGAAACAAGGCGCCCCTATTCTGAAATACCCTAAAAATCTAATCTCACGGGAAACAAGGCGCCCCTATTCTGAAATGCCCTGAGAATCTAATCTCACGGGAAACAAGGCGCCCCTATTCTGAAATACCCTAAAAATCTAATCTCACGGGAAACAAGGCGAAATACCCTGAGAATCTAATCTCACGGGAAACTGAAATACCCTGAGAATCTAATCTCACGGGAAACAAGGCGCCCCTATTCTGAAATACCCTAAAAATCTAATCTCACGGGAAACAAGGCGCCCCTATTCTGAAATACGCTGAGAATCTAATCTCACGGGAAACAAGGCGCCCCTATTCTGAAATACCCTGAGAATCTAATCTCACGGGAAACAAGGTGGCTCCTAATCCGAAAGGATAGAAAATAATAAAATTCTGCTAGAATCCAAAGTCACTGGTGTCAAATTGTTCCTGTACTGATAGACACTTAGAATCCAACGTCACATTGTCAAGGGACTCCTGCACTGAACGACCTCTATAATCAAGTCCCTAGTGACAAGAGGTTTCTGTACTGAATGATTCCTTGGATCCTAAGACATTGGTGTTAAGAGATTCCTGTTGCTTCTAATCTTAAAGACCCTTTGAATCTAAAGTCTCTCAAAAGCTTAAATTTATCTGAGATAACCGCAGCCTGTCATAATACTTTCTGCTTATGCCGAAACCTCTCATAACACTTTCTACTTCAAGGTAACTAATCATGATCGAAACCCCTCATAACACTTCTAAATCAGCACATTCACATAAACCACTTATATAACTATAAAAGTCGGTATAGTGAACAGAGGTATGGGGAAGGAATGGAGTAGAATCAGAGAAAGCAATAGACATTCGTGAAGTGATAAAGTAGCTTAAACAATATGATTTCAAAACTTAACTATCGTCCTTTAGCATGGCATTTTTGTAGCATGAAAATCGCCAGGAACCTAGAAAAGATACAAGAAATAGTAGTTAGGTTTATAGAATATGATTTTGCTAGTCCCATGAAATTACTTTGTGAAATAAATCATTGTTCCTACCTACATGTTAGAGTACAGCTTTAGACGTTTTTTGTAAAAAGACAAGGTATGGAAAGAAGTCTTTTCGGTTCGAAGCTGCCCTGATTTGGAACAGTCTGCCTAATGAGAAAAAAAAAGGCTTTTAATATTTTCTGCAGGCTCTTACACGCCTGGATAGGCCCAATATGCAGCTACATATGCAAATAGGTTTGGGTTTTTCAAGCTTATTGATTGTGTTGTCTTTTGTGCTACAATATGTCACTATCTGCTTGTTTATGCTAAGGTTTTCTCTCTCACATTTTTATAATCATTGATGTGCTTTATATTGTAAGCATGAACACAGAAGGAGTAATGGATACAGAAAAACCTGTTAATCAACCAATCAATCGATCGATCAGAATATTAAAATAAAATGATGGACCATTAATTAGTATTGATTGATTGAAATGATGAAAGAAGAAGAAGAAGGAAAGAACAAAAGAAAGAAAAAAAAGGTAAATAATTTTCTTGTGTAAACATATCTACTTTCTACTTTCGTTTTCGTATTTAAAGTGGATTTTTAGCGCCAAATAAATCTTGGCATGTGATCTTACTTGTTGACCAATCAAAATACAGTAATTTCCAATATGGTGGTTGCGTGATTATCAGATGGGTCGACAGCAAATGTGACAGTCTGGTCTATTTTTTGTGTCCGTGGATTAGCTCTGCACGATAATTATACTCTGACGGAGTCGACATCTGCCAATAAGTTCAAGGTAAGTAAAAATTAGCTTTGTACATGCATTTTTTCATCGGGAAGTATACATTTGGCGACAGTGCCACGACATGTGTTGACAATATTGTCTCCGACTGTCATCAGTTTTCGCTCGATAAACGCCGGTAACTTGCTTTCAGCCAGTGACAGTTTGTGATTGGAATAACAATACATCGCCTGGACTATTTCATACACTCAGACGATTCGTTGAACCGTTTTATCGAAAGTACAAATACTGTCGTCTGCTCAAGGTATGTATAGCTATATAGGCCGACGGTAGCATGGTGCAGTTGTACAACGTATGGAATGTAGCTTATTGACAGAAAATGTCTCCTTACAATATGCATAAACTGTGTCGCCGTTCTTTTATGAAGCGTTATTCCCGTTTTCTACAATTACAGCCATATACGGTACATCGTAGTTACGAAGTGGGACACGACACTTACATCAACAGCCAGATGTACATATATAACAACTAACAAAAAGTTTAACAGCATTAAATTTTGGCAACGAAATTTCAGACCATCATTTATATTTGATGGTGATATTGATCATGAACTTTGATCCGTGTTTTAATTTAGATGAAATGACGAAGAATTCTTAACAGATCCTGAAAGCAATTAATTCATAGATATTAATGAAATGAAATTATATAACTTCTTTAAAGTCCTTTAAAAAAAAATAAAAAAGTCTAGGGAAAGAATCTTAAAGTTTGTATTAAATGTATGCTTTCTGGATCTTTGTAATCATGACAATCCCAGATGTACATTACACTTACACTCGTGTATATGCATACATATTTCTGACTTTAAGTAAAATAGTATGCAATTTGAAGTGACATTTCTTTTTTTAATACAGAAGTCATTTTGATATTCTTTCTTGTGTGTGTCTTGGAAAAACTGATAGAATTCCACTTTGGTGTTTGCATCAGTTTTGTTATGTTTAACTGTAAGCCTAGACACCCTTCCCTCTACCCTATCCCCCTTCCCCTGCACACCCACCCACACGAATACACACACACACACACACTCAAACACACACATACACACACACACACTCCCCCTTCTCTGTCTGTATAGCGATACATGTGGACTTCCGTGTAACACAAGGTAGATTGTGTATATATACATTTGTGTCAGGTTTGTATAAGATTCAAGAGTATTTTACACTTGAATAACTCCACTGAACTGTAAAATGTATATTTTGATAACATATTCTGGTGTAAATAGAATATCTTGCTATATATATTTGTATGCCAGTACAAACATTTTAATAATGTAGTAGACATTTGATAGAATTTACAATATGTTGCCATAATGAAGAATGAACTAAGTTTGATATTAAGTCTGAGGCTCATGTTATACTGTGCAGCCTAAATTTTGTCTAGGTTGTTACAGTTACGTTAGTGCTGAATCTGCAAATTTCAAAGGATTTAGTGTAGGAACAGGGAAAACACACATTGTTGTCAACTGCTCCTACCAGGGATCGCAACCTGGTCTCCTTGGTGAGAGTGGACTGGCTCTACCATCAGAGTGACACTGAGACCGTATGCAACACCATATACAAGCCACGCCAACCTGCTCCTTTTACACTACTGTAAGGGAGATTATTATTTATTTCAATGCCTCCGCTAGGAATCAAACCCGGGACCCCTGGTGTAGTAGTCTGACGCTCAACCAATTCAGCTAAAGAGAAGTTCTCTCTAACCAAGTGGTACTTTGCGGCTTGTATTTTACCAGGCTTGCATACTCCCCCTCCAGGAAATAACTCGTCCTCGAGTTTCCAGGGGTTACAGAGATGCTGGTGGGGCATGGCTAAGTATTATTCCCAGGTCCCTACATGGGCACCAATGTAACAGAGGTCATTATTTATTTCAATGCTTCCACTAGGAATCAAACCAGGGACCCCTGGCGTACTAGTATGACGCTCAACCAATCAAGCTAAAGAGAAGTTCTCTCTAGCCATGTAGTATATTGTGGCTAGTATTTTTACGAGGGTTACACTACACCCTCAATTTTTCTTGACAATTCAAAACTCCAAGTGCTGCAACTCCAGGAATTGTCAAGGAATCAACCAGGAATTGAATTCGGGTCTTCAGTATGATAATAGATTGTCTCTATCAACTGAGCCAAAGAAGCATGCTCCATCGGCATATTTAAAGCTATATATAAGTCACACCAACCTGTCAGCTGAGTGACAGAGACCACATATTCTACATCATACAGCTGTTTCGTCCTTCTAGGACTGATCGAGGATGCCAAGGTCCTTAACTATGAATATGATCGAAAGAAAAGTCAAAATCAAGAGAAGGAGATTCGGTGCTATCAGCCCCATTATTAAATTAATTTCATAATTTTCGTATGTCAGAAATTTTAGAACTGCATCAAACTCGTATATATTCTGAACCTTGCTGCTATGAATGAATGAATTAAAACGTGGCGTTAAGGTTACAGCAAACCTGAGGAACTTTAAAGTCCACCAGCAGTGTCTACCACCTGCTATCTTAAAGATTGTACAAAAGTCACACAAGTGAAAGTTAAAGGGTACATTGAAAGTATTTCTACAGACTGAAACACCATAAAAGCGATCAAGTGGAACAAGATTCGTTCAATTTCATTGTGTGACAATATCAGAAGTAACTACTGCAGGGTTCTGTTAAACAATTCTTACTAAAACCACACAATATGGTCACTTTTACCCAAGGCTGTCTAAAAATAGTTCATCAGTTGAGATCACAATAAAAGAAGAAAAAAATAACATTTAGAGAAATATGTCTCCCTGCAAATTGTTAAGTTTCCTTTTCAGTGCATAGTATTGACCATTACTCTATGTAGAGAAACTAGGTCGTGATGACTTTTAAATAAGTCAATCCAGCAGTTAGACATTCCTGGAGACAAAAAGCGGAATGTGTGGTTTGAAAGCTTTTTCAAATTTGAGCAACAATGAACATTGTACAACTGTCTTATTGAGAGTGTTAAAAACAAAAGTAGAGTATAGTTATTGAAGGTGTCAAATATCAAATGATCAATTTAGGAAAAATTACTTTTCTGTTAATCTGAACAACCATATGTTTTTTTAATCTCTACCTGTAATTTTTTTCTATTATGTTCAATTAAAAAAGTCAAGATAGTAAAATCTGTTGTTTTAAAAAGTAAAAAATATTATTTAAGCAATTAAAAGATAAGCTAAAACTATTAATTTCATTATTAAAAGATAAGTAGAAATTAAGTAAAAAGTGTTTTTGACAAGGTTCCAAGAGTAGTTAAAACTATTATTAACAAATATTAAAAGATTAATGAAAACTTACTATTTACAAAATTCAAAGATTAGTAAAAACTATTATATATAAAAAAGATTTCTTACATGACCTACTTTAGAATATCAGTGGAAACACATGTACAATATTTGTTACTTTTTGGGCCTTGTATTGACTACAGTAAGACTTACAACTCTAGTTAGTTTTAAACAAAATTTTCTCGCAAGTATTGTCTGGTTGCCAGATCAAGCACACACGGGGAAAGAAATCGTAAATACATGTAGCCTGACAGGGAAAGAAACTGTAAATACATGTAGCCTGGGCTTAGTTGTTGAAGGTTTTACACTGAAACTGACATAAATTGATTCATTTCAGTCAGCTTGGAGCATTGGATATTCTTAAGCTGCTTTTCTGGACTAAATATATTCTTTTATTAGATTTGGGAAGATTCACTTACTAACAGGTGTTTGTATTGTATGAGTGCTCTTATTATGTCATGAACAAGAGTTTAAAATCTTCATATAGGTTGTCATTTTCAGGTTTGGGCCATAATAACTACATTAGCAATGTAATCTTCCTAAAAGCCTGAACAAAAATATCTTAATTGGATGGTCGGGTGGTTCGATTCTGCAACAGAAGTGAAAAGGTGGCGTGCTAGACCATGTGGCTTTCCCAGGGTTCTCCCACAAAAAGACCACACACGCTCATACATCTAGGCCAACAGTGATGAGTATAAGTTGAAATTAATTGATGTAAAATGAATAAAGCTTGTATGTATATTTATTACTTATAATATTTCATAAAGGTCAAGGTCAGCTGGACCTGGTCAGTTGGTTTGCGTTTGGGCTCTGTGAATTTCTCTAATTTTATCGAAATATTTTGGGATTACGATCCTAAAATTTGTCCTACAGTGATGTGGAATGTTGGTGAAACATTAGAACATTTTCTATGAATGGTTTTAAGGGCCGCTGACCACTAGTATAGACAACTTATAAATATCTTAGTTGTGTCCTGTGCAGTATTCCTCGTGGAATTTCAGACCTGGGGATACAGTCTGCAATAACGGCTGAAGTAGACAGATCGCTTTAAATCAGGGGTACAAGTCTTGAATTTGATATGATTTGGATTCAAGGTGCATGTTGGGGATGGGGATTGACTGTGTTAGATAGATGGAGGTGGAAATGAGTTAGAACTCAATATAGAGCAAAGTAAGAGCCATTTCAGGTTTACTGGTTTGTCTGGTAGTTCAGTGTTGTTTGTTTGTTGACGAAATATGAGCATTTCAGGTTTGCTGGTTTGTCTGGTAGTTCAGTGTTGTTTGTTTGTTGATGGAATATGAGCATTTCAGGTTTGCTGGTTTGTCTGGTAGTTCAGTGTTGTTTGTTTGTTGACGAAATATGAGCATTTCAGGTTTGCTGGTTTGTCTGGTAGTTCAGTGTTGTTTGTTTGTTGATGGAATATGAGCATTTCAGGTTTGCTGGTTTGTCTGGTAGTTCAGTGTTGTTTGTTTGTTGATGAAATATGAGCATTTCAGGTTTGCTGGTTTGTCTGGTAGTTCAGTGTTGTTTGTTTGTTGATGAAATATGAGCATTTCAGGTTTGCTGGTTTGTCTGGTAGTTCAGTGTTGTTTGTTTGTTGATGAAATATGAGCATTTCAGGTTTGCTGGTTTGTCTGGTAGTTCAGTGTTGTTTGTTTGTTGATGAAATATGAGCATTTCAGGTTTGCTGGTTTGTCTGGTAGTTCA